TGGCGGGTTGATCTACTCTGGTTATTCATGTTACCAGAGTTTTTCCGCTGATTCTGTACCATGATTATTTTACACCTTTTGGCTAGATGAGCAGACAAGGAGAAGTTGGGTGGAGGGCTCCAGGAGTAGTGATTAACCAGCCCTTTGCCCAAAAGCTGGGACTGGTGTCTGTACCTTTTCCCCTAGAGCTTTGCCAATGACCCATATAGTGCTATGGCCTGAGAAACTGGGGGCCTGTTTGGTGTGGTGAGGCTAAGTGGCTCTGTCTTGTTTTCAGCTGGTCTCTGTCCTACCCTAGTGAATCAATTACTCTGTGTCGAAGTTTCAGCTATGGAGAAATACTAGCAATTAAGTCACCCTGCCCCCCACAGGCAACAATTGGAAAAGGAAAATCAAACCTTCCCACAACCACACATCCAGGGTACAACTTTGGCTAGTCTTCAGGTGATTGGCCCAGTTTAAGAGGTCCAAATCAATTGTCCCAGTAAGCACCGGTCTCAGATAGGAGAGTTCAAAACGTCTCTGGCTACTAGATAGCAGGGGTATGCTGGCAGCTCAAGTATGATTCACTCTGGTGCTCCATGAGGTCAGAAGGACCTACCCAGTAAATAAATTAGTCTGGGAAGGTTGATGCCGCCTTCCCTACCTTGCACCTCTGTCACACCCAGTCACTGGTAACCCCACAGGGCTGAGACCCAGTTCCCTCCAATGAGCAGATGCTCTAGGGGTTTGCACCTGCCTGAATCAAGGGAGATCTATGTCTTCTCAGCCAGGCTGCCACTCTATCCGGCAGGGGGAGGTGAGGCCTGACAACCTTGGGTGTTTAATGGAGGCTGGGGCAGTTCACTCAGTTCCAGCCCCACCCCTGATTGGTGTTGCTGACAGAACAGAACAACTTCACAGAATTAGTTTCTGTCCTGGCTATATTCCTCTGTGGATCAGATGCTGTTTGAGTTCACAGAAACTGCGACTCAGCCCCAGTCTGTGCTACTGCCCAATCTCCACTGCAGTTTGTGTTGGGGCAGGCACAGTTAGAGGTCACACTCAGCTGTCAGTTCCAGCCTCTGCCTGACCGCCTTTGTCTCAGCTATGATCCCCTGAGGGCCGGGTGCATCTTAGGCTCAGTAAAGCTGTCCTGTGGGTCAGCCCCTCCCTGGGAGTCTGCCATCTCTGCGCACATATATTCTAGTCCCTGCACTCCCCCCAGGCTGGTACCACCTCAGGCATACCCTTTATTCACAGGGCCTGCATTTCCATCCCAGATCTGTTCCACCAGTGGCTGTCATCAGAGAAGATGCCCAGCTTCCTCTGGTTGCCCAGAGAGACAGAGAGTGTCTGTCCAGAATAGCCCCAGGAGTGTGAGCCCTATTGTTACCACCACTGAAGTGTTCCTCTGTGCCTCGGGCACTGCCACTCCTGTATGGCTCCCTGTCAATTGACTGTATTCTCCTTACTCCCGTGCTGCAGAATCAGCACAGACCAACAACGGCCCTTGCCCTGTCCACACTTCTTGAGAAAATGCCCCAGAATCTGAACTCCATGGGGGACAGGGTTCCAGACCTCAGAGTGAGAGTGAAGGGTAGTGCTGGGAGTTCAGAATTGCAGGTAGAGAATATATACAGTTTTATATACTTTTATGCTTGGCAGGAGAGTGCCATGTCACCCTAGTAGGGGAAGGAGGACCGGTTTTTAGCGGGTCTCTCCCATGGGATTAAATGGGAGGAGGTTTGAACTCTGCTCACTTGTTTGTATGGAGTATACTGCGAGCCCTTCTCATGGGGGAGGGGACTCCTGTCCACTTGGTGATGGATTTTGCACCTTTTTTTTGTATCCTTGGGATTGCAGCTTTCCTCAGCAGGTTTGATGTGTGTTCTTCAACCTTCTCTCTTGGCTCAGCTCCAAACCATTGGCTTACTTGCTAAACTTCTGTCCTTTAACTCTCCTTTTGGATGGGAGCCTCTATGGAAAGCTGGTTCTTCTAGTCAGCCATCTTGCCTCTGCCTCCAAAATGTCCTTCTTATAAAACTTTCTTTTATTTGTATGTATATACACACATCAATGTAATAAAAACAAAATTATTAATACTTTTATACCTTAATTATTCAAGGGGATTTTTGTGTCTAAAAATATTTATTAAAAATGGAATAATTGATGTTACTCAAATAATATTTTATATTCCTACCTCATATGGTCCTTTCTTCCAAGTTTATTTGAATATCTGGTATTATTTGAATTCTCCCTGATTCAAGAGAGTAATCCTGAGTTCCATATATAGCAGGAGTAGAGAGCGGACCCCAGATAACCCTGAACAGCCTCACCACCTCCGCAGTGGTAATTATCATCACATGTTGGAAGGAGCTGCCTGCCCCAGCTGGCCCCAGCCACTATCACAGCAATCATGAGTGGTGAGACAAGACCCATGAGCCACCTGCTGCCCCAGCACCACCCTGGCACCACTAGTGGGAGCACAGGAAGAAGTGGCCCTGGAGGCTTGCAGCAGGGACAAAGTCATGACAACCAAGGTTTGGGGGACAGTAAAATAGTTCAATGCAAGAAAAAGATATGGTTTCATCAACAGGAATGACACCAAGGAAGATGTTTTGTACACCAGACTAAGGAAGAGTAACTCCAGGAAATACCTTCAGAGTGTAGGGTATGGAAAGACCTGTGGAGAAGGGGATGGTAAAGAATGAGGGATCCAAGAATGCTACTGAAGGCCAAGCCCAACACCAGCTTTACCCACAGGGGAAGATGCCCATCTTATTGGGTGGCAACCACAGTATTCTAACCTTTTTGTGCAGGGAGAAATGATGAAGGGTAAATGACAACCAGAGTGTAAGAGAACAAGGTAAACCAGTAAGACAGAATATGTACAGGGGTTATAGACCATGATTCTGCACCAAAGACAGCCCAGAGAGGATGGCAAGGAAGAAGATAAACAGAATCAAGGTGAGGAAACCCAAGGCCAGTAGCTACCTCAATTGCCAGTATCACAACTTCAATTACAGACACCAAAAAACACTAAACCACAAGATAGCAATGAGACAAAAGCAGCTGATCCACCAACTGGGAATTAAAAGGTCGGCTCTGCAGGCTGAACAGGGTGGGGCTGAGTAAATGCCAGCTTACCATCCCTATAATCATTAGGTTTAGTTGTCCAGCAAGAAGAAATGAATATGAAATTCCAGCATGAGGAAATGAACAGAAGACTGGAGCTGAAGACCTCAAGTGCTGGCTTTTTGCCCATTGACCAGATAACTAGAACTGTCTGCATTATCTAAGCAGCATGGGTTTTTTAAATATTATTTTTACCTAAAGACATCTTTTTTGGTAATAAACTTGAAAAAAAAGACTGGTTTTTCTCAATACACTTTTAAAGGTTTTAAATTGTTTCATATCTGGTCAAGTTGAAATTTTTAAGAACTTCATTTTTAATTTGTAATAAAAGTTTACAATTTTATTTTTTCAAAAAAGTTACACTGCAAGCCCCTGTTGTTAATAAAGGTCTTAAATCATTTTTAAAAAGAGTAAGCCATTGAGAGACTTGACCCTTTTAATTGACTACCATATATCCATGTTACCTATGTACAATTTTGTGCATTAACCTGTGTTCTTTTCTTTCATTATGTCCTTAGGCTAGATTCTTAAAAAGGTCCAATGAATTATTTTAGAAAAGTTGTACCAATATACATTCTCACCAAGTGTTTGAAAGAACTCTTGATATCACTGGGTATTATCACTGTTTGAGGGCAATCAAAAATCCAGTCCCATTAGTGCTCCTATTATAGAAGGGAAATGACCTTTATACTTTACAGGTAAACTTACATTTTGAGCTTTTGCTACTTTTTTTTTCTTTTTAAGTTTTGGGTGTTTTTAAATTGGGAATTAATAGTGAAGACCTGAGTCTTAATAGGTAAGCCAATTGCTATGTTAACTAAGAAATTCCTGTAGTATGTTTTAAAATTTTGTCTGTAGCATTAAAATGATTTTTCATGCATTTTAAATCACAAGATATAGATGAAAGCCACAGGGAACACACTTTAATTTTTTCTTTCTCTGCTTTGATTTTCTCTTCCCTTCCCTTCCTTTCCCTTCCCTTCCCTCCCCTACCCTCCCCTTCCCTTCCCTTCCCTTTCTTTGAGACAAGGTCTCATTCTGTTGCCCTGGCATCATGAGAGCTCACTGCAACCTTAAATTTCTGAATTCAAGTGATCCTTCTGTCTCAGGCTCCCAAGAAGCTAGTACTACAGGCATACGCCACCACACCAGGCTAATTTTTTCTATTTTTAGTAGCTATGGGGTCGCTCTCTTGATTAGGTTGGTCTTAAATTGACATCAAGTGATCCCTAGCTTCTTAAAGTGCTAGGATTACAGGTGTGAGACACCTTGCCCAAACTCTGCTTTGATTTTTTTCTTTTTCTTCTATTTTCTTTATTTCTTATTATGAATTAGGGCTTATGGGGACCCCTAATTATTCACTCTTTTCTGTGACTGTCATGGCTTATGAGCACCAATTTCAGAAGTAGGTTTTGTGTCCAAACCTAAGTACAACATGTAACAATAGTCATTTTTAAGGAGACATATCCTTTTCAGATAAAACTGGGCAAGTATTGTATTATGTAGGTAGAATCTACTAAAAACAAACAAAGGTACTGTATGGAAAAGAATGGTATATGTAATGAAGATTTAGAAACTTGATTTTTGTGTCAAATTCTCTCACCTACTGTGGGATCTTGGACAAATTGCTGATCCTCAATATCATCTGTAAGACAGGCACAGTATCTGCTGCATAGATTTATTGAGAGGATTGATTAAGATTAAAGTTTTAAAAGCTTGACAAATATTTAGTACTCAGTAAATGTTAGTTTTTCTTTCTTCTCTTCATTCCTTTTCTCCTTGTAAGTGTCACTTGAGGCTTGTTCCATAGACCTGGGGTATTAGTGGTATTAGGGTGAATATTGTAACTAAACAGTGTTAAGATATACTTACATATTTTTTAGTTAAAACCTCTTCAGAAAATTATTGAGCCATCCATGTTTATGAGTACAGCACCACCTCCAGAAAGAACAGATCCCACGGCGTAAGTATTTTAAGTCTCATTAATATGGTCAGATCATGTGGCATTTTAAAAACTCAATCCAGGGTGGCGCCTGTGGCTCAAAGGAGTAGGGCACCAGCCCCATATAAAGTTCTATCAGATAGCACTAGTCTAGGCTATCATTTAAATCCCCAAGTCCAAACTCTCTCTCTCTCTCCATTTCAAAGGGGATCTCATTCCTCAAGCTTCATTTAGTATCCAGGACCAAAAATTTCAACTTCCTGAGAAATGTGACTGGATCCTGTTTTCCCCATGCTAGTAGGTCAAAAGTATCTTTGTTGCTACAAAGGCTGCCTCTTATGCAAATGCTAAACTCACTCTATAAATCATCTGGAAAACTCAGGGAACTAAAGCCCAACAACAACGTGACTGCTGCCCATGATCATGGAATTCATTGGTCTTACCATCTTTTCTACCATTCTGAAGCAACTGGGTAGAACCAAGGCTCTACAACAGATCCAGACTGCCACTTAGGCCCTATGATTCAAATCCAGCCCCAGACAAAAACTGCAAAAAAAAAACCTCAATCCACTTGATGGAGCATTTTGGTTATTTTAAGAAGTCCCCAGGACATGGTCAGGTTGGGCTAGACTCCCAAGGCAAAAAGAGCAGTAAATTGTTTTGCCCTGTAAGTTTGGAAATATATTGAATTTCTACATGTAGCCCTTCAGAAAGAGGTGAGGAGTTCTGAAGATAAAAAGTGAGAGAGAATACCAAATTCATGGCTGAAAGAAGGAAGGGAAAGGTAACCTGATGAGGAACACTGGCCAGAAAGATACTCCTTCTGAGAAAAAAGGTGAAAGACTTTCAAGATCAGTGTCTCATAGTTGTCAGTTTTCTACTCTACAGTATGGACATGTTATCTCTACCTCTGCACCACTCCAGTTGTTACTTCCAAATAATCAGTAAAAAGTCTGTGGTAAGGGGCTGGGCCCGGTGACCACACATGTAATCCTAGCACACTGGCAGGCTGAGGCAAGTGGATCACCCCAGTTGAAGAATTCGAGACTAGCCTGAGCAAGAGCAAGGCCCTGTCTCTACTACAATGAAAAACAAACAAACAAAAACTAGCCAGGTGTTGTGGTGGATGCCTGTAGTACTAGCTACTCAGAAGGCCGAGGCAAAAGAATCACTTAAGCCCAAGGTTGCTGTGAGCTATGACACCATGGCATTCTACCTCAGTGAAGTTTCTAGGAGTGCACTGATGTGGATGGTGTGAGATGTACCTTTTATGGTAAGAATGGCTTATTGGATTTGGCTTTTCCTACAACAAATGAGATATAACTCATTTATAACTTAGAGGACCACTTTGGATATTAGATGTAACCTATTCCTCATTTGGGTGTGTTAGTCTGGGCCATTCATTTACTGAATGACTCAAAATTTGCTAGTTTTGAGTGGGCCAAGAATAAGAGAAGGCTCTACAACAGATCCAGAGTGCCACTTAGGCTCTATGATTCAACAGCTCTAATCTGCCTGAAGTATATCAGTGGCAGGAGAAATATTGTTTGGAGCCTTTGGAGGTGAATTGCAACACTGGCCATTAGGATTTTGGAACAAAACCTTGCTATCCCCCATAGATAATTACTCTGCTTTTGAGAAACAGTTTGGGCTTCCTACTTAGTGGAGACTGAATGCTTAATGATGGGCCACCAAGTTACCATGCAACCTGAGTTGTCCATCATGAACTGGGTGTTACCTGACCTACCAAGCCATAAAACTGGGCACATACAGCAATATTCCATCATCAAATGGAAATCGTATTATGTTATCAAGCCTGATCTTACTTTGGATACAAATTTGCCTTTCCTGCACATAATGCTTCTGCTAAAACTACCATCCATGGACTTAAAGAATATCTAATCATTATCATAGTATTTCACACAGCATTTCTTCTGACTAAGGAACTCACTTCATAATCAAGTGAAGCAGTGGGCCCATGATCATGGAATTCATTGGTCTTACCATCTTTTCCACCATTCTGAAGCAACTGGGTAGAAGCGTGGAATGGCCTTTTGAAGACTCAGTTATAGTTCCAGCTAGGTGGCACTTGGGGCAAGGCTGTATATCCTCTGAATTAGTGATGAATATATTATGCTTTTCCCTTATAACCAGGAGTCCATAAATCAAGAGGTGGAAATGAGAGTTGCACCACTCAATATTACTCCTCATGATCTACAGGAAAAAAGTTGCCCATAAGGTTGCCGTATATAGAGAAAATAGAATACTGTAGCTAAATGTACCTTTATGTAGAAAAATATTTATTATAAAATTTTAGAAAATTTTAGAAAATATTGCTAGAAAATACTATTAGAAAAATAGATACTATATAGAATACTATAGAAAAATAGATTATTGGCTCGGCGCCTATA